TCCTCCACCTCCACTTCATCATCATCTGATCCCCAATCATAACTGTAAAATGTGAGATTAGTAAACTAGGAATCATCGACTCCGACATTATACTATATGCAATACAACAAATTACAACTTGCACACACCGTTACTGAGACAAATAATTTGTCAAATTTTGAAGACTAGACATAAAAAATATTAAAATGGTAAATGGACCATATTTAAAGAGATGTTTACCCAAAAATAAAACCTGTATGAAAACACAAAGTACAATATTTTGAAGAATGTCAGGTTTTTTTCTCTCTCCATATAACTACCGTCAACAGTTTTATTGCCAACATTCTTTCAAAATATAATTTTCTTTTTGACAGAAATGTCATTTTAGGGTGAACTTCCCCTTTAAATATGATCTTAAAGTCGGATCGTTTCACTATTTTAGACATTACATTTGTGCAAATGTCTATACAAGTTGAATTTAACAACAAAACTCTTAGTATTAGCAACATATATCATACACTTCATAACGTAGTTTGGAAATGAATATGAATTGAGATACTGACCATTCAGCGAGTGTTGTTGGACCTTTATAAGTGGGCTGTGCAGGAGCCTTCGATGGACGCTTACGACGTTTACCAGCAATAGGGGTGTTTTTACCCTCGTATCTATAAAACAATATGCCATAATCAACCAATGAACACAGAAAATGACACTTGCCACGTCTATTCAGTTGTACATCCGAGTCAAACTTGTGGTTTTCGTGGTAAACACCGCGTCCCACGAAACGCACAGTGGTTACATCAAATATCCATTCCTACTAGAAGCCTGACTATTAGCGAGCTAACTTTAGCTGAAGCTCAATGATTAACATTAACGTTACCTGTCCAGGAGAAAACCAGCCAACTCTGAATTCTTTTTGAAGTCTTGCTGGGCTTTAAGCTGTTTCCATCTCTCAAACGCATCTCCGATATTTATGCGCTTTTTATTGTAATTCAGGTCATAGCGTTTTTTAGATGGATGCCTGGGCTGTTTAGGACGAGTTGAATCTGCTATCTCTGAGAAAGATCGTTCACTGGCTTCCATGATTGCAACTGTGTTTTTCCGCGAACTGGCAACCCGGCAGTGGGCGTGGCCACACGGACCAAAACAATAACACGGATTCCGGCACGGGTTGCCAGGTTTCACGTAAGCATTTGTTCACTTCGACCAGTTATTTGTTGGTTTAAATCACAAATGTACATGTTTGCACCAGAACCTGATGAATTTCTGTTGTTCCAGCTGACAATATCTATAATGGCACTGAATATGCCTGAATACTAAATTTATTAGCATTTCAACTACATATATAAAACAAAATATAAATAGTTTCTAGTAAACACCTTTTAAAATAATGGTAGTAAATTGGTCAAAAACAGAATAATAGGGAACGTAAGAACTGGAATAGATTGGTTAGATATGTACACTGTAATGTTCCCATCTATCAGTGGAAATGTATTTTGCGTTCAAACAAACTGTTCAGGTTCAGGATATCTTCTAATTGCACTTCGTCGACTTTTCCTTATAAAATAAGTACACAACCAAACAATGAAACATTGATTTACCTGTCGAGAAGAAAGCAGGCAAATTCAGCGTCTCTTTTGAACTGTTTCTCCCGCATTAGCCCTTTCCACCTGGAAAAGGCTATCCCAACATTAACTCGTGTTTTTTGTAATCTCCGGTTACGTGTCCGTATTCGTTCTATTTTGGATATTTTGGGCAACGAGGATTCATTCTCCTTTGGCTCGGCATATGTATGGTCCTCCATTACAAATAACAGTGCAATGCAGTCTTTTAAACTTGCCGGGGCAAACGCCTCTCAACGCTCTGCTCCTCCGTTCTGCTGCTTTCAGTTACGTGACGCTGGCTCTGAACTAAAACGCGTTGGCCTAACACTTTTTGTCCATCTATGGCAGTTTTTCCAAAATGGCGGAACTACACAGAAGCCTCCGTGGACCTACCAGTCCCATGTATAAAAAGATAATAAATCCTTCGTTTACGAGTTGAAGTCAGATAATTGGCAGAGGTGTTTGTACACCATTGAGGACATATTTATGAATACAAATATTGTTTTTAAATAATAAAATACTTTAAAAAAATACACATGGTCACTTCTGTGTGTTTGCGTTTGAAGCGAGATCCCAAACAAACCAAGTTAGCTCGCCCCTCCCTCCCGAAGTGCATCATGAAAAGAAAAAAACATCATGCACGCGCATTTCTTAAAGCGACAGACACACAATATTCAGATCGACGTTCCACCTCAATGATTGCCCAGCCATACATAGTTGGTTTTGAAACGTGATTTTATAACCAAGTAAATATAATATTGGTTACTTGCACAGTCAATATTGTGTATTCTTAGGCTAATGCAGAACATTATGTTATCAACTACATAGGCTTCCAGCTTTGCTCCTATTTGAATTATTAAATGGTTATAAGCAAGGTGTCATAATGTTGCCTATTATCCTTTATTTACCAAGAGTTCTGTGGTCGGGCTGCTTCCCAAGAGCTACAGCCTCCCACAGCTTTTCAACTACATATATGTTTTTTGTCAACAGTTGAACTGTAAAGGTGGTAATTTGGTCAAAAACTTGATAAATCACATGACGTTGGGAACTGGAATCGAGTGGATAGACGACAAAGGTATGTTTTGTATTGATACAAAAATAATTATCAGCTTAAGAACACGAATTATGATCATGGGTGAGATAATAAATTCGTTTTTGTATTACCTGTATGTTTGATCACACTATTATGTGTCATTGTAATGAATTTGGTGTTAATTATGTGCAGTTTTACACATTTAGGCTACAGTTTCTTACAATTGCCAAGTGTTTATCAAGTACTTTTTCTACTCTTAAAGGTTCTCTAAGCGATCCTGGGTGTTGACGTTCGGAATATTTTCAAACCAGAGCCATGTATTCAGAGAGTTCTGACACTCCCATAGACCGCCATTGTAACTCAGGAATGCGGAACGCTTGTCATGGACCCGCCCATTAGTTCCAACCACTGATAGTTCCAGCATTGAACCCCATTCATTTTCTGTGCTTCCGAAGTACGCTCGCTGGTAAATGAATGAAATTACTGTATTTTTTACTTTTACACACATTAGCGACCTCTCGTGAATCTAGTGTGTAGTTATATGTTATGTAGACAGATCTAGTAAATGTTTATTGGAAGATAATAGGTTAATTGCAGCGATAGCTTACGTGACCAACACTTCACTAACGTTGTTAGCAAACTTATGCTTACCTGATGTATATAATATTTTTTTATAACGTCATATAAATATATATATATATATATATATATATATATAATATTAGATATACAATATATATATATATATATATATGAAGAGTTCAGATGCAAAAACCTCCAAGTGCCATTTGAAATTTTCTTCTAGAACGACCATTTTTATCAAGCTTGTGTATTTAAGTTCAGTAATTTCACTTAAATGACAATTAATAGGTAATCTTCATTGCCATTTAAGTGAAATTACTGAACTTAAATATACAAGCTTGATAAAAATTATAATTTTAGAAGAAAATTTCAAATGGCACTTTGAGGCTTTTGCATCTGAACTCTTCATATATATATATATATATATATATATATATATATATATATATATATATATATATAAATAATATTAGATATACATACACACACACACAATTGATTTATTTAAATGGTTTAGGGTTATGCATGTGTTTGTGTAATGTATATATATATATATATATATATATATATATATATGTGTGTGTTGGGGGGGGGGGCAATACATAGTACCTCGTATAAATGTATTTGTGTGTGTTTTCTGATGAATGGTTTAGTCTATGAATAGGGTAGGATGAAGGGCTACATTAACCACTGAATTGAATCCCAACAGTTATGGATCATATTTAGGAACAGATATTTTACTCATTAACTCATCATCATATCTTTATTTAGGACATACATATTAAATGGTCCATAGCACTATACAAAATAAAGTACATTCAAAATAAAAAAGATAACAGTTAAAATTTACCTAACATTACTGTAAATATGGTCATTGCTACGTCATGGGAGCAGTCTATATCCCTTCTAAATCATTAATTTGTACATGCACAGCGTAATTATTTATATTTTACGTTGGTTGTCGTGATTGTTATCTTGAACGGGCCACCGGTCCACGGGTCTAAATGCGTGATCACGGTAGGCTAACGGCTGAATCGGAATTTATAAGCAAGATCACGGGAATCCATAACCTACATCCCAGTTGTGCTAAAATAAATATCATGAGACGACGTCCATCATCAGATGAATGACATGGAAAAGTTAAGTTAGAGCCGCTAAAGCCAGTGCAACTACTAATGCGAACATAAACACAAGCTTTTCCCTCCAAAAATATAGACCATTTCACAAGATGTAAACAACACTGGTCCAGAAGCACTTCCTGTTTCAGTTTGTAACTGTTTTCTTTATTTCACATGTAAAGAAACATCTTAAAGATGTTTGTTTAACTTAAATGTTCTGTTGGTTGTATTTTATCCCAGCTTTTATGTAGTGTTAAAAAACTGAAACAGGAAGTGCTTCTGGACCAGTGTTGTTTACATCTTGTGAAATGGTCTATAGCCTTAAAAAAAACACCCCTGCCTCTCCAAATGCAACACTGACATTAATCAAACGCAATAAAAGCTTAAAAAGTACTTTGGTGTGCGTTTTATTTTATATTTACCGTTTAATAATGCAATCGCTGCTGTCTGTCCATTGAAGAACATGACAGCCCGCGTCTGTTTTGGAACTATTGGGGCTTCCATGAACCACGTGACAGCCTTGCGGCGACATCAAAGGAGTAAAGCGTGTCGCAACTGTTTCAAACAAATCGGAGGCTAGCTAGACCCTCCCTCCTCAGCATCACATCTCCTCCCCTCCCTTCCGTGCTTCCTGAAATAATTGTAAACGTGCATAGTTCTAGCTAATTATATCCTTGTGTGGGTTTGGCGAATTTAACGTTACCCACCTGTCCAGCAAAAACAGAGCAACCTGAATGTTGGACTGGAAACCCTTCTGCCGCCGGAGTTCTCGCCATCGTTCAAAAGGTTTGCTACCGATGTAAATTCGGAACTTCGCACGTTCTTTATCCGACTCCTTCTTCTTTTTCATTTGTTCTTCAGAACGACGTCTCTTTGGTCGTGTGTCGGCCATTTTTCAAACATCCCTCTGATGCTTCTCCGAGTCTCTCCTCTCTTCATGTGCACGCGCACTAACCCCCCAGACCCACCCTCAAATACTTCTTGCCAGTGATTGGCTGGAACACTGTTTGTTAGGTTTCGTGGTCCGGGTGAGACATGATTGTTTTTGTTGCCGTTTTTGGAGCCTGTGGTGTCTACAGAGACCGCGTTTTTTTTTTTTACAGTTAGGGGACAGGCAGCTAGCCGATAGTGAGGAGACGTTTGATGTATGTGACAAAAAAATGTTTTGGCCCCACATCGCTTTGAGAACCTTTAAGACTGCAACACATCACACAATTGGCCAAATAGTTAATTTTATGGCCAAAAACAAAAAAACAAACTTGCTCAAAACCTTTTTCTATACTCACAGCAAAACCGACCCAACATACAATCATTCGGTCAAAACACTAGCACTAGTTTTCTTTCCAACATGAACATAGTCAGTCGTATAGCGATTATAGCAATTGAAGGCATTATGAAATCTGCATTACTTCACATTTCAGTTCTACCTGCAGACAATATGAAATCCATTGTTTTTTTATATAATTCAGTTTCCTTTTAGTGTAAGCAAATCCAATATATAAAACATCATAAAAGATAATTGTAACTTTTTAATCTTACAATTCTGACTTTTTGTGTGGAATTTCAGAATTGTGAGGTATAAACTAGGAATTGAGAAAAAAAAAAAAGAATTTGTGATCAGTTATGAACCAGTTGGTAAAGGGATAGTTCACTTTGAAATTAATTTTTGATATGTTTTAGCTTACATCAAGGGCATCCAAGATGTAGGTGTCTTTGTTTCCACAGTATTTTCAATTATGATATTTTTAGGTCAAACCGTTCTTGTCTGTCAGTCATATTATGGAGGTCTATGGTCACCACCTCAAAGAGCATGCACAGAGAAATCTAAATT